AGGTCAATGTCGATGATTTTTACTGATCGAGTTGATCAGTTCTCACCTGTCCCCCTTGGGGAAAACCTGATGTTTCTTAACAGAGAACTTTATCGTCCAAGTCGGTGTGTTCTCAGCACTGCCATGGGGCCCCCTTCCCTTGGCGGGGCCGCCGGCCTGGGTCCCTCCAGCCTGGCAGCCTGGGGAGTGCTGACGCCCCTCCTCCCCACACAGGTGTCCGACAACCCCGTGGCCGTCGTGCCCGCCCAGTACATCTGTGCGCCCGACAGCAAGCACCCATCCCTGGCGGCCCCCGCGCAGCTGCTGCTGGAGCGGTTCCTGCAGCACCACAGCCACCGCTTCTTCCCGCTGTCCCTGCGGAACCACGGCCACCCCGTGCTGCTGGTCGACTGCTACCTGAACCTGGGGTCCCAGGTAACTTGGTGCCTGCTGCCCGTCCACCTGGAGCTGCCTCGGGGGAAGCGCCAGGACCGAGGGCTTGGGATGCACTCAGCACCTGCGTCTCGGTGCTCCCCTCTTGACAGCCGGTGAAACAGGCTGCGGGGGTTTCCCTTTTTTCATGACCAAGTAAGAGGTTATTATTAGAGTCAGGAGCGTCCTGTCCCCCTCGGCAGCCTGCGCATCCCATCGCAGTGACCGTCTGAGACAATGATGGCAAACCTAGGACACGCCTGTCAGAGGTGACACGCGAACTCATGTTTTTGGTTGATTTCTCTTTGTTAAATGGCATTTAAATATATAAAATATCAAAAATATAAGTCTTTGTTTTACTATGGTTGCAAATATCAGAAAATTTCTATCTGTGACACGGCACCAGAGGTAAGTTAGGGTTTTTAAAATGCTGGCACGCCGAGCTCAGAAGGTTCGCCGTCACTGGGCTAAGAACACGTTTGCACAGCACAGGGGCCTCGGCACCAGGTTCCCACGTCAGGAGCCTTTCATCAGTTTCGCCAGCGGAGTGTCTCGCCAGCGCCCCCGCCCCCCATCTTCCAGGTGCTCAACACCCCAGATTTGCAGCTGAAGGAAGTAGTCCTGTCAAGTCCTTGTCGCTCTTGTACTAAGTGTCAGGTCCTGCAGTGCTGAGCCGCGTTTTACACTGCAGGTGCCGCCGCTTCAAATCAAGTCAGGCAGTCTCAGACCTGGTATACGTGTGTTCACATATTCACGCGTGTTCACATATTCACATGTGTTCACGTATTCCCATGTGTTCATGTGTTCACAGGAGAGCATGTGAATGGTCTGTTCCAATATAATACGCTAGGAATCAAACCCAACGCTGGTGCCAAACATTTCTTTAAAAAAAAAAAAAAAATATATTCTTAGTGTAATTGAAGTGTGTGTGTGTGTGTGTGTGTGTATGTGTGTGTGTGTGTGTGTTTGATTTCAGAGAGGAAAGGAGAGGGAGAGATAGAACCATTAGTGATAAGAGAGAATCATCGGCTGTCTCCTGCACGCCCCCTACTGGGGATCAGACCCACAACCCGGGCCTGTGCCCTGACTGGGAATCGAACCGTGACCTCCTGGTCGATGCTCAGCCACTGAGCCGTACTGGCTGGGTGCCAAAACATTTCCGATTCTCTGATTAGTTAATGCATAGATAAATCCGGATAATTCTCTTAGTGATAAGAGAGAATCATCGGCTGTCTCCTGCACGCCCCCTACTGGGGATCAGACCCACAACCCGGGCCTGTGCCCTGACTGGGAATCGAACCGTGACCTCCTGGTCGATGCTCAGCCACTGAGCCGTACTGGCTGGGTGCCAAAACATTTCCGATTCTCTGATTAGTTAATGCATAGATAAATCCGGATAATTCTCTTGGAGTTGAGTTTTAAGCTGTAGATTTGGAAATAATACAAAAAAATATTGTTTCTGGTCCCCCAAAACCTTGAGCGTGGCCGAGCGGTTGGCATGTTAGCGGTGAAGCCGTGGCGTGGCGTGGCTGAGCACATCACAAGAGCAGTGTCCCCTCGCTGTCTTCCAGATCTCCGTGTGCTACGTGAGCTCCAGGCCCCACTCCCTGAACGTCAGCTGCTCCGACTCCACGTTCAGCGGGCTCCTGCTCTACCTCTGCGACTCCTTCGTGGGGGCCAGCTTTCTGAAAAAGTTCCACTTCCTGAAAGGTAAGTTCCCGTCCTCTGCGTCCCCCGGGCCCTGACGTGAATGCTGGTGACCTGCTGCTGCTGAGGAGGTGGCTCCTGGTCGTAGTCCTCCTTCTCCAGTGGGTGCACGGAGGCTCAGAGAGGGACCGAAACCGCCAGCAAAGCCCAGGAAGGTGGGCGCGGGGTTCCGGGGTGCACATTCCCCCGCCCGCCCCCCGCCTGTTTGGGTGGAGATGAGACACATCCCCTTTCTTTTCGGCAAAAGGCAGAGATGTGTTCCTTTTCAGTGTATATTCTTTTTTAAAAAAATATTTTTTTAATTGATTTGAGAGAGGAAGAGAGAGGGAGAGGGAGATGGAAACAATGATGAGAGAGAATCATTGATCGGCTGCCTCCTGCATGCCCCCTACTGGGGATCAAGCCCGCAACTCAGGCATGTGCCCCGATTGGGAATCAAACCGTGACCTCCTGGTTCATAGGGCGACGCTCAACCACTGAGCCACATGGCCGGGCTCAGTGCAGATTCCTAACACCCTGCCCCAGGTCCCCACTGATGTCTCCTCCTCTGGGAAGGCGAGGTCCTCCTCCTCGTCTTGGGATACGGATGCTTCTGGACTTTTACGCGAGTCTTCCTCCTGCTGGAGTTGGTTTCCTGCGAGAGTATTCAGAGCGGCAGCCGTTTGTTCTGTCTGACTTTAAAACGACGTCCCGCCCAGCGGCGGGCCCTGACCGATGCGCTTTCCCCGGGTGGCCCTTCACGCTGACCTTGTCCAGCAGGTGTTCCCGGAGCCCCGCACAGGCTAAGGCCCTGAGTAGTGAGAGGCTTACAGCCATCTCTGCCCCTGGCAGTCTCTGCCCTGGGGGAGCAGCTTGTCTAAGGGAGGGCAGGCCGTGTAGGAGGAAGGTAGGAAGGTAGGTAGGTAGGAAGGTGGTGGTAGAAAGGCAGCCAGAGCAATGGAATGAATGGACATGAATGTCTTGATTGTGCTGGGATTGGAGAGGAGGGAAAGCTCACCTGGTGGGCAGGTGGGGACAGGTGGGAGCGGATCGCCTCGAGTGGGAGAAGAAGGTGGTGTTGGGCCTGGTAGGGCTGCAGCTGAGAGAGCTTGGTTTTGCATCCGACCAGTCTCTTGCCAGCTCTCCTTCTCTCTTGCCCGCTTGGCCACCGTTTCCTCCGCCTCCATGTTATCTCGCCGGCCGGTCGCATCGCCCTGTCTGCCTTGCTAACACTGGGAAGCATTCCCAAAGAAGCGGGGCCCGGGGACACGCGGCCCTCCCCTTCCAAGCGCAGCCTCTTTCTCTCTGCGAGCCGCAGGGTCCCGGCGCTGGGTTTCCGCGGGATACGCTCGCCCCGTCTTCACACGCTCTGCCGTTGTCCGTGCAGGGGCGACCTTGTGCGTGATCTGCCAGGACCGGAACTCCCTGCGCCAGACCGTGGTCCGCCTGGAGCTGGAGGACGAGTGGCAGTTCCGCCTGCGCGACGAGTTCCAGACCGCCAACGCCAAGGAGGACCGGCCGCTCTTCTTTCTGACGGGACGGCACATCTGAGGGCGGCGCCCGCAGGGTTTCCGGGAAGAGTGGAGTCTTCGGAACCTCATGCCGTTGAGGCTAAAGAATTCGAACCACGGGGTGTTTGAACAGAAACGGGCCGCAGACACTGTCTGGCACGTCCCTCGTGGCGGCCCAAAGCCCAGAGGTGACGGAGACTCCGGGAGGGACGGCGTCTGTGGGTGTCGAGCATCAGTAACGCACACCCGCCCTCCCGGTCCCGGGCCGGCTGCATCGCCCTGTGCTACGTCCAGGTCCATTTCACGAAGAACAAAGTTTCGCCGACTGTCATGCCATCCGTACGCTTCCATGGACGAACTTGCCTTTTCTCTTCGTTCTCAGTCTCTCGATTATCTTGCAGAGGTGCCAGACGATGGGTAGGATGTGAGCCGTGTAGGTTCCCTCACCATCTACTACAAAGCAATATTTTAAAAAAGAATGCTTTCACTGTAAAGGCCGGAGGCAAGAAAAAACAGTGGGTCACTACATAAGAATTGTGTCCTTGCCTAGAAGTTTGCTTTTTAAAAAGCCCAAAGGTATCAACTTGAATCAAGTAAAATGAACGGTTTTACTTCAGAGCAAATGCAGTTCTATTAAGATAGTAGAGGGTAGGCACCCTACCTCTTAGAAAGGGCAAAAGAGAAAAGAAACTTCTTTCTTTAAAAGATGGCAGGAAGGAAAGCTGGGTGCAGAGGCGGGTTGACCTGAAGAAACAGAACCTGCCTTACAAAGGAAAGAGGACCAAATGGTTCACTTGAAACGAACAATAAAAACCACCAAAGTGACACATAAACAGCTTGGTAAGAACTAGACTTCTGTCCACCATTTTTTTGAAGCTCAGTTTTCAGTTCCTTAAACAGCTTGACTTTTCTAATGAGTGCTTGGTCGCTGACCCAAGAGGCAGGGGGACAGGCAGATGACAGTAGGGATGTTCTTTGATACACTTCCACTTATCTGCCAGAATGTTTTTTTAAAAAATACTTTTATTGACTTTAGAGAGAGAGAAAGGGAGTGTGTGGGGTGGAGAGAAACATCGAAATGAGAGCAGGGATCCAGCCTGCAACCTGGGCACGTGCCCTGACCGCGAATTGAACCAGCAACCATTCGGAGCATGGGATGATGCCCAACCAACTGAGCCACACAGGCCAGGGCCAGAGTGTTTTTAAACCAGCATTATGGAGCACCGCCTCCAGGCCAGGCGTTGGGCCACAGTTATGATCTTGATTGATCCTTCCCACACCCAGTGTGGGTGGAATTACTCTCCCATTTGACAGATAAGAAGGTTGAGGTGCGGAGAGTGCACGGCACTGGAGAGGAACAGAGGTCTCATTGCTGGACTCTGGTCCCCAGAGTCCGTCTTCCCCCCACCACCTGCCTTATGAGCGGCCTGTCACCGTAGGAGACGCATAACGATACGGAAAAGTCAATCCTAGGATGCGTTTCTGTATGTCCGTCTTAGGCTTTTATAAGCACTCTCATGGATAACAGGTCAAGAAGATGTTATTTTTCAAGATGATGCCAAAGAATGAATGCCAGCCCTTTCTCCCCTAGGAAATAAAAAGCCCATGAGTATAACAGATTTTGGTCAACGTTTATGAAACCATTCCCTTGTACATGTCGTTATTCCTGTTTTGGAATAAAAGCATACCTTCTTTCGTTACATTTGTCTTTTGTACATAGGCAACTTGGTGCTGTTCTCCCCATTTTATTAATTTTAAAAAAATCCCACCTCAAACGAATATCCTTGTTGGTTCCAGTCTTACAAATAAAACTTATGCATTTGTTTCTTTGGGGGGTATTGACACCCTTTTGAGAGGAAGCTGTGTGGCAGTGCTTTCCAGGGGCTGCCTGCTTAACCAAACAGCATGGCAGAGAAGACAGTTTTGGAAAGGAAATAAGACCAAACCCACACTGGTAGGGGCATAGTCACACGAGGAAGAGTCGCTGAGAGAGAAAAGGCAAACAGGTGGACATGGAGGGAGCCGTGGCTGAAAATGTACGAAGGCGCGTGACACGCAGGACGGTGGCTTTCGGGTGCTGTGAGCTCCCCTGTGGCTAAAGCTGAAAGGGGACCTGGGGCTTCTGTTAGGAGGCTCATGGGAAATAAGCAATCAATTCCTCCCAGCTCTTCTGCCACACGCCCCGCACTCCCCCGGCTGAGGCCGAGTGTGGACAGGGGTGTGTCTAGACTAGAGAATAGAACTCGGGGTGGGGAGGAGACGGCTGTTTTCCATGACAAGCTTTGTATTTAATATTTTTTGACTTTATGAAATCTGTATCTTTACAGGCTCCCCAGGTAATTCCTTTTTTTTTTAAATCCTCACCCGAGGATATTTTTCCTTTGATTTTTAGGGAGATTTCAATGTTGTTTTCTTTTTACGTTAACAGCTTCAAGAGCGTCTGGGAATAAACCCGGGAGCTACGAATCCTTCATGGAAAACAACCAAATGGAGGAGACCCAGGACCTTCCCATCAATGATGAGAGAGAATCATTGATCGGCTGCTTTCTGCACGCTCCCTACTGGGGATCGAGCCCATAACCCGGGCATGTGTCCTTGACCAGAGTCGAACTTGGGACCCTTCAGGCTGATGCTCTAGCCACTGAGACAAACCGGCTAGGGCTCCCCAGGTCATTCTTACACCCAGTAACGTTCGGCCGCCACTCCCACAAGAGTGGGAAGAGCACAGACTTTGAGTTCATTTTAAGTTCTGGATTTCTGATGACACTTCACTAGCCTGGAAAACGGAGGCCCAATTTTCTGAGTGGCCTGAGGATTAGAGGTGAAAACATAGGTGCCTGCTCCCTCCTCCCCCTAATCTGGAGGAGAACCTGGACCATGGCGGGAGTCACTAGCACTGGGTGCCAGCGGGAGGCAGGCTCCGGCACCCCATCCACAGCCTTCAGCTCCTGCTTCTGCCCCACAGTGACAGCCATGGTGGGGCCAGGCCAGGCCAAGCGAGGCGCCCGGAGGAGGACAGCAGGGTGCAGGTCCTGTCTGACGCCAGCAGGTGGCTGGCACCCAGGGGCTGGCACAGGGCCAGGCAGTGCTTAGTGCTTGGGCCAGCCTCGCTGTGCACCGTGGCGTAGGTGCTCACCATGTGCATGAAGACGTAGATGCAGCAGCCCAGGTCTCCAGAGACCCAGGGGGAGTGTAACCACATGAATTGTAGTTCCATGGGCACGCTGACCATCATCATCATCATCCTCATCGCCATCACCATCGTCATGTCAACATCATCGCCGTCACTATCATCATTGCCATCATCGTCATCATCACCATCATCATTGCCATCACCATTAGCAGCAGCAGCAGCAGCGTAGAGAGAGCAGGGCTGAGCATGAGGTAGCTCAGCTGCCTTGGGGCCGTGTCCACGGCTTCAGCACCACGGTCGTGGACAGCGCATTGCTCCCAGCCTAGCACCAAGATGAGCAAATGGAGCTCGGTGCCCAGAGGGCGTGCCCACAGCAGCTGGAAGTCCAGGTTCATGGCTGGGCTGGGGTTGGGGCTCCCTTGGGCTGCTGGTCTCTGTCCCCCTGCCTCAGCCTACGCTCCCTTCTCAGTGCCTGCAGACTGGGGGCTCCCCGAGGGTGCCCCGGGCAAACTCAAATCACACAGATGTTTGCAGCAGATTTGTTTACAATTGCCAAAACCTGAAGGCAGCCAAGATGAAGGCACGTGGATGGGTAAATACGCTGTGGTCCTTCCACATAATGGAAGATTGTTTGGCGCCGAAAAGGAACGAGCTATTGAGCCATGAAAAGACATGGAGCTGGGACAGGTGGCGAGGTGAGCACAGAGGGTGTTTAGGGCGGTGAAGCTCCTCTGTAAGGTACTCCGGTGATGGATCTATGTCATTAAGCAGTTATCAAAACCATAGACTGGCCCGGCCATGTGGCTCAGTGGTTGAGCATCTCCCTATGAACCAGGAGGTCAGGGTTCGATTCCTGGTCAGGGCACATGCCCGAGTTGCAGGCTCCATCTCCCATAGGGGGCGTGCAGGAGGCAGCCGATCCATGATTCTCTCTCATCATTGATGTTTCTCTCTCTCCCTCTCCCTTCCTTTCTGACATCCATAAAGATACATTTTTTAGAAGGCCACAGAATGGACAGCATGAGGAGCGAGCCCTAGTGTGGACTCTGGGCTTGGGCCACTCTGGTGTGGGGTGTTGATGGTGGGGAAGGTTGTCTAGATGTGGGAACAGGGACATACGGGAACTCTCCTTTTAGCTCAATTTTTCTGTGAACCTAAGCTCCAAAAAATCCCACTAGTAAAACAAAACATCTAGTTTGTTAATCGAGAAAGAACCTGATGTGACTTTTTGCCATGCTGGGTCCTCCCCGCGGCGTGAGGCACTGTTGGAACTGAGGGTGAGTCGGGCCTGGATCCTGTTCTGAGAGCCCCTGAGGTGGCGGGGATGCTGAGTCATGAACTCAGGGAGCTCCCCTCAGGGATGCTGAGTCATGAACTTGGGGAACCCGTCACTCTGTGTCCACTAAGGGGCATGGGCAGGGAGGCCTCTGAGCTCCACTGCCCCCGCCCCCCCGCGCCCCCCTCGGCCAGGCGAGCCGCTCTGAGCCTGTTTCCACTTCTGGGAACGATGACCCCAACCTTGAGGATGAGAGAGGAAAAGCACTGGTGCGTGGAAGGAATCAGAAACGTCTGGTCGCCAACCCAACTGCGAACTCTCCCTGAAAGGTCAGTGGAGGGAGCAGCGTCAGGGGTGGAGAGGGCAGGGCAGGCTTGGGGAGGAGTCTCCCCGGGCCCAGGAGGCAGGCAAGTGGGAAAAGGAGGCGAGGAGGGGAGAGGCATCCTGGGAGCAGGTCGTCGCATGAGCGAAGGTTTAGGAAGGGCAGACCCCAAAGTGCTCTTGGGGGCTCCCAGGGGACGCCCAGGCTCTGTTCTGGGAGCCTGAGGGGAGGAGCACCCTGTGGGCTCCCAGCCGGGACACGGGGTGGGCGTGTTTCAGGGGAAGGTCAGCCTGGTTCCGAGGCCCCTGGGGGCGGGGACGAGCTCCTGGGGAGCCCTGTTGTAGGAAGAGGTGGGGAGTCTGCAGCTGATGGAAACCCAAAGTGAAACAGGCTCGGTTTTGCTGTCTGTGAAACGGAGCTACTACAGCCTGCCTCAGAGTGATTGTGAGGATGCCTCGCTGCTACCGCTTGTGAAGGTCCGGTACGCGCCAGGCATCGTGCCCAGTGCAAGGCCTCAAGTGCCCCCCAACAGCCCTCTGAGAGGGAGACTGTTTTTATCCCCGTGTTTCCCAGATAAGGAAGCCGGGGCTCCTCGAGGCTGAGTGTCTTGCCCTGAGTCAGGACGGCTTCTAAAGGTCAGAGTCAGACCGAGAGCCGAGGTCTGTGTGACTCAGACTCAGAGATTCCCTCACTGGGCAGCTTCTGGGGCCTGTCATCGTTCACATCCCGTCCTGATGTGTCCCAGGCACCTAGTGCCGGCTCTCGGCAGCCCTGCGT